TATCTGTTTGCACAACTATTATACACACACTACTGTAGAATTCAAAGTGGCCTTCTCTACCTATACCTTTCAATGCCTTAATGTCACAGATCTGCTACTGGTGTCTGCCAAAAATTGCCCTCACTCTGTCCTCCTCCATCTATCCTCCCCCTCTCTCTCGCCTCCATCTGCCCACCTCCATCATCTCTGCTGCTTTTCACTTTGTACTTATTACCCTTTCACCCCATCTGGCCGTCTCGCTGCCATCCTCCCGTATCTTTCCCCTTTGAATCCTGTTTGCAGATGCGCCCACTCACCTCTTATGCCCTCTCATTGGTTGGCTTGTCTTTGAATGCTCTCTTTCATGCCGGTTTCTTCTCCTCCTCTCTGCATTCATGGATGTCACCCGCTCTAACCCAAGCCTACATCCATCTACTGCAGCCTCACCGTAAGTCGCTCTCTCTGCACCGGGACACTTAGCCTTTGCCTCTCCCTCCCTGTATGTGCATGATCCTCTGTGTGCCTGTCTAATTCATCACTGACAAACCCCTTAACCTCCCCTCCATCCATCTTTCGTGATCCCCATCCCAGATCTCTCTCTTCGGGAAACGCTGAGTGAGTTGCATGTCTCTCATCCGTAAACAAACTACACAACATATGACAGCGTAGTAGTTGTTTCAGCTTCAGATTGTCTTCTGCGCTTAAATAATTTAGTAAAAGTAATCAAAACATTCCCAGTCAGAGAAACTAGGCCGCAATTTTGCCACAGTCACCGCAGATACCGTCCTATAGATCTAAATCTAATGCATGTGTGAGTTATTGGATGTGGTCAACGGAGCTAATGGTGCAGATCGGCAAACTCACTTCCATCAGTCTATACTCCCAGCGGCTGTGACTGCATTAGTTGCTCACCAAAAAGTGTGGTGGAGGGAATAAATAATGCACAGAATCGTATATTCCCATGAAAAAATGCTTGCTTAAAAACATTTCTAAAATTGGTGGATTCTTCTCCTCAAAAGATGCGAAAGTACGTATACCTGCATGTGTCACAAGTAGATTAGATTATTATAATGTATTCTTCTCTTCCACCTAAATCAGTCCAGCGTCTGCAAACTTGACGCTGGTCTGAAGGATTTTAACTGACTCCGTGTTCAGACTCGGGTTGACTTTAAAAGCCCTTCACAGTCTGGTGCTGTGATATATTTTGTATCTACTCGTGCCTTGAGTGTATGCTCAGAGCTGCTCTCAGGCTTCTCTCATTATGCTTCTTGTAAATGGAATGCTCTGAATGTGCTCCAACCCTGAGCTCATTCAAGAGTAAACTTAAGACCCACTTCAGACTCTCTTACTCTTTTGTTGCCCGTTATCTCTTCACTGCCCCATCACACTGCCATGCGATGGATCTAGTTCTGGTGGTTCTTTGTGAATTAAGTGAGTATCTAAGTAATCTTTATCTATATAGCGCATTTTTATAGACCAAGGTCACCCAAAGCGCTTTACAATGTTCAGAGTTCAGATGTTGTTCCTTGAGCTGCAGTTTCCTGTATGAAATATGCTATCTACAGTAAATAAAATATCTTCTTCTTCTAACAATGAAGAAAAACAGTTAATGAAACAACCAATCCCTAATATTTTACTTGCTTGAGATAAAGGGACATCCATCCGTAATGTGTGTTGTGAAGTAATCCGCTTACATTTGACGACAATTTGATTTGACTGATCGACCTGAAATTGAATTATTCTGTCAGTTAAATTATGTGGTTTGGAGCAGAGTGGGGTTTTGAGGTTTAAACATTCCATCTCTTCCATCAGCCTATACGTTAACCCAGACACAATCCATTACTCATTGTCCAATTATCACTGTCCCGGCAGAGAGTGTGGGAGGCGGTGTCGGAGGGGGACACTCAGGGACCACTTTGAGAGATGGTCCTCAAACACTTGTCTGTATGAGTCTGGCACCATCGCTCTGTCAGAAGAGCAGGTAACACTAGATTTATCCTCTGGGGATCCTCAAGTTTTGGAGCACCAACAGGTAATCAGAGAACAGGGACATGGTTCTTAAACCTAAAAATATGTCCTTATTTGAGGCTGTGATTGTATGGATATTTTACATGCTGTTAGTCATTTGCTCCAGGACTTGTTTCCTACCAATATTGTCATGGCTTAAGTTTATGCCCTGTTTTATTTTGTAATTGTTTAACCCCTTTAATTGCACTTCCTGTTTCCTGATTACCTCCTGTGTATCACCTGTGTCTTGTTAGTCTTGTATGTTCCTTCACTTCCTGTTCCCTCAATGTCCTTCCACGTCTGTTTCAGTCCTTGTCCTTTGTCTCTGTTTGGTTACTTTTTGTGGTGTTTTTCCTGGATTTTGATTTGTATCATTTGTGTTTTTGGGTCCTCCTTGATATCCAACATGACAGAAATGAATGGATAGTAGTGATGGCAATATGAAGACCCATGAAGCATTGAGGGTTTGCAGCCTATTACTCGGCCCATAGCCTGGTCGTACCACACCATAGTACAAATGACATTTCGTACTAAGGTCTGGACGTGCTCCATTGAGCTCCGAGTTTGTTGTTTAGCCTAGCCATCTCCTTTGCCGCTAACGGAGCTCATGGGGGGTAGCGCCACAATTTTTTCCAGCGATTACATTTGCTAAACATTATCCATGCTCCGGCTTCAATTTCTTGATAGAACCAGACCGGATTACTTAACTGTCGCATTCTTTGCCATTGCCAAACCACAACCTGCCTGTTCGACGCAAACTCTTGACATCACCCACAACTAACTACAACACCTGCCTTCCGCGCTCTCTGAATGGTCGGTCGAAATTCAACCGATTGTAATCGCTAACACAGGGACCAGACCCAGACGTTACATGCAGTGAAATGATGATTGAACGGAGTGTACGGATGGCTAAGGCCAGGCTACTCAACCCGTGGTTTAAGGCTCGAGGTGATTCACGCTCCACTACGCCATCATCTGGACAAAATATATATAACACTCTTAAGTGCTTACAATGAATAGTGGGGTCTAATATTAATATTGATATTTACAGTCTATGGTCTAAACATTTTGTGTGAGAAATGATGCTTCATGAACTATTAACTATTTCAGGTTTTCAGTCAATTGTGTTGATACAACAAACATATTGCATCCAAAGCAATGCAGTTTTACAAAAAAGTGTTTAATTGAGGATGAACTCCCATTAGCTGGATTAATTAAACACAACAAACCATGTATTCCCAATAATTAAATATTTTTACTTTGCAAATACAAAACTGATTATGAGTCAAGCGCGAATCAAACCACATATCTTCAACTTCAGAGTCCAGCAACTGCCGACTGCGCCACGCAACTGATACGCAATTCTTGATCCAATGTATTATCAGCTTAAACAAAAGTGATACATTGTGACATTAAGGCAAATTTGGATATATGAAATTGAGGTTTTACTAATGTGAAAAGTTTTTAATTGTATTTCATATGCGGTGCGGCCGCTACGCAAGGCTTCGAACGTCACCACATACGTCACCAACACACGCCTCAACCCACGCTTTAAAAAAAAATACCCTTGATTACTCGGTACACGCTTTGAATACTCGGCACGCTCAGCACTAATGGATAGAAGTTGTTACTTGTGAGTACTTAGTGCTTTTGCTCTGATTGGCCATTAGCATAGGCCTTTGCAGTGTGAGAAAACAATATGGCTTTTTAGGAAGTAAGTATAAGTACGTCATGTTTAATTTTATAGTGCTTTTTACAGACCAAGCTCACCCACAGTGCTTTACAATGTTCAGAGTTCAGATATTGTTCCATTCTCTCCACACACGGTGATGACAGAAGCGAGACGCCGAACACACTGGCGCATCAAAGCCTCCAATCAACTCCATCCATTCGCTCACTCATTACATTCATACCTACTGTTCAAACCTATTATGTGAAAGAATGGAGCCATACGCTAATCGCATTCAGCATTAGACATAAATAATACCTATAGCAAACTGAATTATCAAGATGAATAATACACATAATCAAGTTTGCTTCGACGCACGTACAGGCTGTTTAGAATTCTAACTTTTTATAAGTACATAAGAGAAATAAACAAATCATTGAAATGAATGGTTGAGTTGATTAACACTCAAATACACGCCGGTAATGAAAAACATTACCCAAAAAGGTGCACTGTGTAACTTGGCTGGGTAGTTTCAAAGCAGGAAACTTAAGAATAACAAATAGGCATCCAACTTTATGTAATTCAATACTGTAAATATTACATATTATACAGAATGACAAACATCTGATTTCCCTGTCTTGAAAAGTGAATTTTAAATTCAACATATTTTTAAATATCAGTTTGCAAAGTGGTTTGCTTTTATGCAGCTACTTCCTGTTTCCTGTCAAATCAAACATGTCCAAACACAGCCCATGAAAAGGGCTGCTCGGAGCAGACTCTCATGTTGAGTTGTTTGATTGATTGTTTTATTTTGGTCATAACATCAACTTATTCCTTTGTGAGATCAATAAAGTTCATCTTTTATTATTGAAACAAAGTTACAGATCGAGCATAATTATAATGAATTGCAACCAAAAAAGGAATAGAAGCAATTCTTATTTGAGCCTATCCTATTTCTACACCATTGTTGTGGGTCTGACTGATCGGGCTCGTAGTGTGTAAACAAAGGAATGTTTTTTTTATTAATTTAACCAGGACATTCCCATTGAGATGAAGCACCTCTTTTTCAAGGGAGTCCTGGAAAATTGCTTTCATGGCAATGTTTTTTTTAATGTACTTTATGCATGACTCACTCGAAAAAAAAGCGAGTAAATGAGAAGAGGAAACGATTATAACACGCACAAAAGCTTTTAAAATAATACATCATTATCTTGTCTACTGTGAAACCTTGTAAGTGGGGGCTCCTCTCAGTCTATACCCTGAGTTTCTGCATAATGCTTCTTCGCTCTTCTACCTCCACTCACCACACAGAAGTGATTAATTACACTTGAAAGTGCCGGTTTACCTTGGTGGCCACCGTCCGCCCAAACAGTATGGCGTAGCAGAGGTTGAGGGCGGAGGAGTAGGAGAAGACGCGCAGCCTGTTCCTGCCGTGGGGAGTCATACCAAACGGGCTGTTCCACTCGTACAGCGTGAGGAAGAGCGCGGTCAGGTGCAGCGTGACGAAGATGCCCACCCACATGGACCAGTGCAGGGGCCACATGAAAGCACCTATGGGAGCCGCCGTGTCTTTACTGCGGACCTAAGAGAAACGACAGACAGCAGAAACAGCTGTAGGGGGAATGATGGCTCGCTCTGTGGGTTAAATAAGACACGTTTCGCTCCACGGCTTCTTTCTCTGTAAACTGAGGATTTTGCTTTGAAATGAAACGGTGGTGTCGGAGGGTTTTATGCGCTGCAATCTGTCTCTCACAGAGGGGAGTATTAACTACCCCAAAATAACTGCGGTGCCTTTGAGTGCTCCGAGCAAAGAAGGCTTATACAAATATTTGAACACTTGGTAAGAAGAATTAGCTCTAGTTGTAGTAATAACAATATTTGAATAATATATTTTTTTAAAACGGTAAATGTTGATTTGCCTTAATATTAATAGTTGTGGCCTCATATAGTAGAAAATGCAATACCATAATTATGCTAATAATAGGGACTAAGTTTCAATACCTGACTTGGAGCTTAAATAAGCAACACATTGATTATGTTACTTAACTGTCAATGTTTTTCTACTTTAAATCAAACTATCATTGTATTACTGTTTAATGTATGCTGAAATACACAAAAGTCACACATATATTCTGACATTTGTAACATCGTAACAGTCTCTTCGATAATTCCAGCAGCTGAAGCAGATTCAAAGTCTTTCCAACCTATAACTACCTTAAAATTCAGCATTGCAGTTTATCCTATATTTATCATTTATCAACATCAAAATAAATCAACCCCAATGAGAGTTTTCCCCATAACTCTCAACAACTGGCATTCCAACCATAAACTATATTTTCGAGACTATATTTTTTAACATGTTTGCACGCTTCCTGTCCTTTTGCACACTTCTATGTATCCATTCTATCCATGCCAAATGTGACCTGTATCCATTGTGAGTTCAAGAACGTTTGTCTTATCTTATCTTATAAACCCATGTTATAATGAATGGTCCATATTGAAAACACTTTAAAACAAAATACAGCACACTCTAATTTTGACTCTTCTGTGGTGGGACAAGAACAAAGCAAAGTAATGAATAGACAGTTTAGATTCCTAGCATTTTCTAAAAGAGCAGTCCCGCACTAAGCATGTATATTAAGGCTGCAGAGTAATTATTCATGTCCTAATACTGCGCCTTCTCACTGAGGGGCAGACTGAAAGGGCAGGAGGCCTCTGTACCATGTGTCTCTGGATCACACTCACGCTTGTCAGCCACAGAGAGAGCAGATTAACCCGTCGCACGACCTCAATGTAAATATTGAATGTGCACGTCCAGTGGATTTATTCACGCTATTTACGAACGTCATGTCACGATCTGTAAGCAATCTGTGACGAGAAAGGATGAAAAGGAGAGGAAAAGGGAATCATGATTGGGGCTCGGCTCAATTTGATGCTTTGGTATATTGTGTTTGTGGGTTTTTGATCTTCGGGGCATGGTCCGCAGCAGGCTCATTACATATTTGAAAGAAACATTCGAAATTGATTTATGTTCCCAACTGTTACCATGGGATACATTACTTTTCTCATGCTTTTAGGGAGAAGGGGAGACAAAAAACATGTCTCTTATGCACATTTTAAGTATATCACAACATGCTCTTTGTAGTTTAGATGTTCCCTGATCGTTAAGACACATTTTGGGATCAGGAAGAAGCACAGAGATGAGGGAGAGTATGATTAATATGGAGGTAATATGGAGGTTCTTTATAAATCCAGACTTTTAAACAAAGCTCTTAGGATTGTCAATGACTCTTCTGGCCACCCTGGAAAAGCCATGTTCCAGCTTCTTCCCTCTGGCAGAAGATATCGCTCTCTGAGATGCAGGACATCTCGTTACGCTAACAGTTTTTATCCACAAGCTGTTATCAGTGTGAACAGAGCATTTTAATGATTTGCACTTGTTTTGAAACTGTTTTAGTCGATCGATTTCACAGTGACATTTGTTTACTGTTTTATTTGTTTTATTTCTGTCTTTTAATGTTGTTTTATGTCTGTATTTGTCTGTGCACACTGGAGACTTTTGCTAATGTATTCCAATGTGTTTTTTTACTACAAATGGCAAATAAACTGAATCTGAATCTGAATCTAATACTTTAATACACTAGGAGCTCTCCATCGCCTCCCAAGTAACTCCCATGGGATTTTGAGAGATCTAATGAGTAGTTTAAATGTTGAGATTTACACGCCTACAACTATTGTAAATTTGACTAGATTTCTCTGTGCACAAATAATGTAATGCTAAAATGTTTTATGGGAATTAAACTCAATCTAAATTCAGTTTGACCGCTAAAGATCCATCTCTCTCCCAGTCTGTACCAAGACAAGTTTGAGACACCTGGTTGGTTAGTTAGTCTGATGATTTGATTACCAACCTTATTTACCAAGTGCAGACACATTAGGGACTGAAACATTTGTCGTCAGCCCTATAAGCTAATGTCTTATGAAGATCTGGATCGGGAATCTCTGGGTCCCATATTCCGATAGATGAGTCACGACACTATTGCTTGATATAATGCTCATAGAGTGGTCAACAATGTATCACAATGTGTCTGATCCAAAAGTTTGTTTATTGCCTTGTGTATATTGTGCTTACTTTTTACATTATTTAGGTAATCACTTTTAATGCATATAGGTATGGATTATTTTCTGATCAAAATTAGCTTGAAACAGAACTGGAGAAGATGGCAATGTATTGTTGACTAATTTAAAGATTCATTTTCACATTCATTATTATCCCTTGCCTTTTGGGTTTAAAATGCAGTAGTATCCCACTAAGCAAGCCGACGTTGAATCAACGTAATTTGAACGTCGTTGTCCGACGTAGAATATAGGTCACTGGTGGGTGCAGAATGAAAGTTTTCTCGACGTCGTTTCCCGACGTCACCTCAACCTCCAAATGTTACGTTGATGGCACGTCAATTCAAGGTTTGAATGTGGGTACGGAACCGTCGGGGTCTGACGTCCTATCAACGTCTCATATGACCAAAATATTGACTTTATATGACGTTCGTTTTCAGTCCGTTCCCACTAAGCAAGCAGATGTCAAAACAACGTAATTCCAACGTCATCTGGACGTTCATTCAAGGTTTGCAATGTGGTACAGAACCGGTCGGGTCCGACGTCCTATCTCGACTCTTTATCATGACCAAAATATTGACGTTTATATGACGTTCGATTTTCCGTCGTTCCCACAAAGCAAGCAGATTGTCAAAACAACGTAATTCCAACGTCATCTGGACGTTCATTCAAGGTTGTAATGTGGTACAGAACCATCGGGTCCGACGTCCTCTCGACGTCTTATATGACCCAAAATATTGACGTATTTATATGACGTCCATATTACAGTCCTATTGACCTACTTTAAACCTCTGCAGAATCACTCACTGGTCGAGACATACTTTTTGCAATAGGCAAGGCAAGTTTATTTGTATAGCACAGTCAAAACAAAAGGAAACTCAAAGCACTGAACAAAAGATAGAAACAATCAAACAAGGCATTACAATTATAAATATTGACAGTAAATTAAAAAGATACAAATAAAATCTCTCAAAAAATCTCTCAGTTGAAGCAGAAACAGAAGTGTTTTAAACCTGGATTTTAACATTGTCAAAGAAGAAGCCTGTCTCACATTTCCAGGAAGACCGTTCCAGATTTTAGCCTTGTGAATCTGAAATGCAGCTATATCATGTTTAGTTCTGACTCTGGGCAATAAACGATAAACACAGCAGTCAAAAATCATTAGAACAACTGTAGTAGAAGGATATCAGTCATTATTGCAAATGGAGCTGCATTAAAAATCATGTTTCTCTACATCAAAGTACAAGTTAATCCACACAGGGCACAGTGTTATGAACACTACTGTACTGAACAGTTCATGCCAAAGTAAAAAAACATGATTGCATCGCCTATGTTTGGATCAGTATTAAAACAGGCACAAGCTACACTCTAGGTTCCCCAGATGTAAAAACACAATCTGAAAGGCAGAAGAATGCATTTATTGAATGTTGAGGTTCCAACATGTGTCCTCTCTTGGTCTTCAGTCTCTCATCACAAGGTCCAAGCACAGCACCTGAAAATGTGGAACATGTTTAGTTTCAACATAATGTGGCAAAGTGATATAACAACACATAACTTTCTATTAATGCCTCAAACCACTCGATCCGTCACCATGTGATACAAACCTTGGCACTGCACTAGCTCGAGACACTGGAAGACACTCCGTCTGAGAAACTTGGGATAAGGCTTTGGTCATTGGAGTGATTCCATGTAAAAAACAATTGCAAATGTGCATTTGTTTTGCACATGGACACAAATGAGCCCTGAAAGCTACTTACCCTGTATTACTCTACACATGTTGCATTTCCGAGGGGGCATTTTCCCCTTGTTGCTCTTTTCCCTCATCTTGAGTGAGTTGCTGAACAATCTGAGAAAAAGATAGATGTTTTCAAAGAGAATACACCAAATAATGGTTTATTCTAAAAACAACATAATAATACAGAAGAACAATCAATGTGTGAGAGTGTGATTCTTACCTTTGAACACCTTCAACACAGTCTGACACCTGTAAGACTCAAACACATATGACACATTAGGAATACACACAGAACATTAGTTATTGCAACAATCATGAAATTATACTCTATGGATTTCACAATAATTGACTGCATTAGCAAAGGTAAATGTATTTTAATTAACATATGGCTGGTTTTAAAGTTTATAAGAAAAAGTAAGAAACTGAATAGAGTTGCAAGCGCTAGTTAGCTTGCTACCAGCAGATGAATGGATATTAAATATTTGCAGCTAACAATAACAAAAATAACAACTGTAGTGGCTCATTTAAACAGCCACAGTGAGAAGAAGTGAACGTCTCTGACATTGAAGACCTGGGAAGACATTAAATCAATTTATTAAACAAAGCAATACATGAACATTAAACTCTCTTTCTGCAGCAGGTAACATCTGTGTGCTCCTATGGTCCCACATGGTCCCACACCTGAACTCAACTCCAACTGATGACATCACAGGTGTCTAAATGATGGGAGTGTCCCAAATAGTAAAGCTGATCTCCCTGTTTTTAAACTTAGATTCAGATTCAGATTCAGATTCAGATTCATTTATTTGCCATTTGCAGTAAAACCACATTGGAAAAACTGTGCAAGACTACCCCGGTGTGCGCCAGGACGACACACACCAGAGCTCTTGCCACGTTTACTAAGTTTACTAAGTACTGTTGTCTTTTTGCAGTTTATAAACCATTGTGAAATATACAGTAACTTTACATTTTAGAATTGAATTATTATTTTAAAACTCAAGAATCTTAACCTTTTTTAACACATACTTTGTTGGACAGTCTAACCTAAGAATTCTAATGTGTTAAAAATAGTTTGAAATATGAAAAACAATATCATATTTTAAACTTTAACTTAAAAACTAAAACAAGGTGTCTCCCTTTCAGCTGAGCAGTGCCAGCCGTTATTATTATAGATTCATGCACTGGCAATTCAAAACACAGATAATATACAAAATATACTTAACAAAATCCACGTATACGTGAGAAAACAACTTACTTTCTGTCTCCAACTCTTTTCAATGTGGAAATGATACATCTATATCTAAAAACTGTGCAGACTGTGTACTTACTAGAGAGGGTGATTCCAACTAAATAAAGCAGGGCAGCGACAGAGGTACAGATTCAACGTCATATCAACGTCTGGGAAGGCATTGCTTTACGTCCAGATGCACACCTTACGTCGTTTAGACGTGGAAAACAGGTCCTCGACCGAGCGACTCACGTGTCAGACTGTAAAGCCTAATGGGCTAGACACACGGGAGGCGACATCGCATCGCCTCCATTCATTTCAATGGGACGTGCGCGACATAGCGTCAATCGCTAGCGAGCCTCCTGCTCAGCGACGGGCGAAAAACGTGCGTGTGAAATCCTCCTGCTCGTGCATGTATCGTGCACGCGCAGGTCAGCGACGCGATCCCAGAAAGTTGAAATCGGCTCAACTTTTCGACGCTGTCGTCAAGCCGCATCGCGCCCCGTCTGTCATGTTATCTGAGCGACAGCGTTGAGTTTCGCTGATCGCTCTCATTTGTCGCCTCCCGTGTGTCGAGCCCTTCAGGCTGTAAAGCCGTTATACTCGCGCGGCGCATAAGTGTGCGTCGGTTGTTTAGGGTGTTATGTATTATTTTTTCACAGTAGTCAGAAAAATGCCTGGCCGTGGTGTAGCGGTTGCGTGATGAGACTTCAGTCGCAACGACGCAGGTTCAAATCCCCGTTGGAAAACTTTTGACTTTTCACTTTTTAGCGAACAATTTTTCTGTTTGGTTAAAAACGAATAAACACTCAACATAAGATTATGTAGTGGCTAATAATAAAACTTGTGAACCCATGCATTTGCATACAATCTCAAGTGCTCACCCCTTATTTGCAAACTTGAGATTGTTAGCACAACAAATGCATACATTCACAAGTTTTATTATTAGCCACTACGTAATCCTATGTTGAGTGTTTATTAGTCTTTAACCAAACAGAAAAAAATTGTTCGTTAAAAATCAAAACAAATATGTAAAGATAATAATACACACACGTGGGCTCGAACCCACGTAACCAAGTCTGCACACATTTGCTTAACCACTACTAGGGGACGTCGGGATTGAACGTCATATCCACGTATATGGGAGGTCATTGTTTTACGTCCAGATGCGCACCTTGCACAGACGTCGTTTGGACGTAAATAAAAGGTCACGACCGACCGACGCGATATTGACGTGATCTGGAGGTTGAGTGGACGTCGGATGTTTAGTGGGTTCAGGCTGGTTCCCTTGATATTCACCTGAGATATTGAATCAAACTGACTGGCCATGATCCTTTATCGATTTTGCTTCAGAAAACAACTTGAGTTTTTGTGGGAGGTGGTATGTGTCCATAGGGGTGGGAACCTCAGGGTACCTCACGATACGATACGATACGCGATACAAAGCTCACGATCACGATATGACGATTATCGATATGTTGGTCAGAAATATACTGTTATAGAAATCTTTTAGTAAAGCAATCTGAATAAACACAAAATAGTTTTAAGTGTAAGTTATAAACTAATTCTCAACTCTGGATTCAAATACAGCACATATTGGCATAAATAAAATAAAAATGTTAAGTGAAAAAATACACTTTATTTTGTTATATTCCATTCCATTCCATTCCATTTATTATGATAAATGGAATGGAGATGTGTAATGTACATGTAGCCATATAGTATATTAAGTATTGATACAGTCCAAAACTAATATATGTATATATATATATTTTTTTAAAATTGATACTTGGCAAAAGCATATTGATAATCAATCGTAGGGCTGGGCAATACATCGAATTTAGGCAATTAATCGGCTTTAGAAAAAAACGAATTTGTGAAAATTGTGAATTGTGAAATTGAATGAAGGATATTGTGAGAGTTCCAGCAGCACATGAATTATACTTGCAATATCAGCAAATTCTGTACAAGACTTTTATAATACGTATTGGTGTAAACAAATTATAGATTGTTTTGAAACTTGAATATTGAGCGGAAAGATCAAAACATATTTAAAGGGCAAAGTCTGTCTTTGATGACTTTAAGGAAAATTGATTTAAAATTGTCCAAAGCAGGATATAAAATTAAGATTTTACTTTTTTGCCATATCGCCCAGCCTTAATCGATCGTGTGAGAAAGTATCACGATACATCACGATATCGATATATTGTCACACTCCTAGTCCATAATATTGAGTATAAAACAATAGAGTTCTCAAATCTAAAAACAATTTGGGTTCTGCATTTAAAAAACATGGCTTCTATCTTTTAAGTGACAAAAGTTCTATATTGTCCATTTAAAGAAAACCTTAAACACTCCAGGAATTGTCAAATCTTTTAAAATATTCCAAACATATTCAGATTGTGCACATTAAACCTAATTTATTGGACCACAGAGCCAATATTTTGCCGTTATTTCCTGCAATTGCTTCATATTCCACACAGAAAAGGCAGAAAAACCATCATTGCACCCCTTATTAACTTTGCCCATAACCTCAATCTACGTTTTAATAAGAGTATTTAGCATGACCAGTCATTATTTAATTTGATTTCAAGTCTTTGAAGTATTGGGACAGGATAAATAGGCAGAGCGCAAATTGCTTCCAAACATAGTCAGCAATTAAAAAGAGAATTGTGTGACATAGACCGAGGGAATAAAGAGTTAGACAAGTCTGTTATGAAAATAAAGAATCGTGAGGTGGAAATACTTAATCAGAGGTAGTTTGAAGACATGTGTGTCAAACCAGGCCAATCGAGTGAATGGTTGGCGAGTTGTTTGGACCTGTGTTGGAATTTCCCCACAGGAAAAACAGTAACATAAAAGGGTCACAAAATATGTCTTCAATTTCAGGACCTCAGGATATCACTACGGCAAGGTTATCATTCACATGGAGCAATATAAACTTATTATATACTTTTTACAACGTCATAAAGGCAAGAGAGAACCACGTAAAAACCCAAACCAAAGACCTTCACTCTTATGACACGGCTTTTTTTTATTAACCCGGAAAGACTCATTGAGATAAAGAACCTATTTTTCAAGGGAGTCCTGGAACTATGTAGGGTTAACTGCAGAGTTGTGTTGAAGTGGCAGTCTTTTTCACTCATTTTCAGATGATTACTATGTGGGCTGTGGGATTGGGGCTGTACAATCACTTTTAAGATGAAGACTTATCTCATGAGTCTTTGTATTTTGTTACATCTATGCAGAAAATTCAATTGAATTATTGTGACCTTGATCTTGAGCAGACTGACTCACCAGGCCCGTCCCAGTCCGCTGCCGTGGCGTTAGGGTTGTGCAGCTGGTTGAACAGGTTGTTGATGACATCAGTGCGGTTGGTCCTGGGGTCCAGACACATCTGCCCCGCGGGACACTGGCCGTCCTCGTCCACCTCCCGCGTAAACACGAAGGGGTGCTCCACCAGCGTCACCACCCTCAGGCGGTGGCCCTCCACAGGCAGACCAGGTCTCCACCTCGCAAAAACAACCCCTTCGCTCTGCCCCTCTCCGCCTCTCACCCCCGCCCCCAGGCCCTGGCCCTGGCTGTTTCCAAACCCTCCCACTAATCCCAGAATGCCGTTCTCAAGCTCCAGAGTGCCTCGAGTCCACTGTCCTACGGTGACCCAGGCCGGTTGCCCAAGAGCGCCCCTCTTCAGGCTCCAGACGTGGAAGAGCTGTGAGGAGAGCACCCGCGAGTGGTCGGGCTCCACCTGGATCAGACCTGTGGCTCCAGTGAAGGATGTGTTGGACAGAAACCTGAGAAAAGAGAAGGGGAGAGGTCAAGTAACAAGGCTAAATATAACACAGATGTTCAAATCAAACAACACAACTGTCAATATTTAGTAGATTTATGTTTTGTGTCAATGAATATTTTCATAACCACATGTTGTATAAGTTTGACTTTATGTACATCATCGTAGAGTATTCACCACTTCCCCTTTTGTAGTTGGTTAATCGATTGACAAAAAATGCCTTTGGTCGACTACAACAATTAGATTCCTTTCTGTGCAATATTTGGCTTTTGAGTTATTTTTTTAAAGATCTTGAACATTCCCTCTAAGATCGAGTTTCAGATTATCATGCATGCAAACCGTAGGAAGGGAGTGATTACTGTTAATCACTAAAAAACTAAACAATACAGACACAATTATTACTTCCACTCGTTCTATAACTAGCTGTGACTTTTCATTACAAACCTTTCATAAATTCTCAAAGCAAAATACAACTGTGACTCCACAGGCAGGATTATTAGTCAAATTTGAAAACGTGTACAGATTAGGGACACAGACATATCATTTTCTGGTAAAGTAGAGAATTTTGGGATTGTTGGTTAAGTTAATGCAGTGTGGGCTCCCCTCTATCTGCCCAGTCCATACAGACAGTCATTGCTATTCGCCTCACTCTCCCGGAGGCCCTCACTCTGGTCTTTACCCAGGAATACATTAGGAAGAGCAATCCCTGCCTGCCCATAAATCTCTGCTGGCCTCTTGAACCAAAGTGGAGGACTGTTAGCTGTTAGCCTTAGCCTTATCGGAGCACACGCGTGATTGTGAGCCAGCCTTGTTTGATCACGTCTTGATTAGAGAGGGGATTGTCGGCAGGTCAGTGGTCAGGCATTGTGCTAGTTTAAATGTTAAAATAGGCAGGGATCACTGAATGCATTCGGTGTATGGGCCGCTGAACCGTGCCACGACTTTTGATTATGTAGGGGTCAAGAAGGCAGGCGGAAAATGGTGACTTTTCCTTTTCTGTTAATGAATGAGGTTGGGGTATCTGCAAAACTTCCGTGAGCTGCAGAATGGATTACTCCTTTGACCCTTTGTGTTCTTCACCCTCCTTTTATTCCTTTCCCTTTTCAATGCGCAGAATGGAAGGTGCGAAAGTCAGAGCTTATGGATATAAGGATTCTTTGTTAAAATATGTTTTAGAATTCTGAGAGTATAAGATAGATCACAATTGTCATGAGCTGTATAGAAATACCAGGCACTTCCGTACACTATGGGACACCCTGTGAAAAGCAGATAATAATAAAATCCCTATTGACACTGGACATTGAATTATAGAGGTCACAATGCACATGCCTGTCAAAGCCTGACCTCTCTAGATCTCTGGTGCTGACAATGAGATGCCTGGATATTGATTTGGCTCTTGTGCAGACTTATTGTTTCGTGACGCACAACACTTTGCCCAGAATGTACCGCATAGTAGTATCTGGTTCTGTGATCGGATTAGTTTCAACATTATCATTATTACAAAGTTAGAACAATGAAACAAAATACAGTTCAGCATCTCACCAGACGTGCAATATCACAAGCATAGGATCATATTTACAACACAGATAAATATGCATACATGTGAAACTGCACCAAGCTGCTGTCTGAGGGGCCAACGGTGCAGATTAGTAGGTTTCTTTCATTCTGTCTGCCTCAGGGCTGGCATGGTGGGATTATCACCACCATGTTTGGAGTAATGGATAAAGCAATATGGGTGCAAACACTTTGGGTGTCATCTAAAGGTGCTGCATGAATTCCTGTATTATTTTGTGTCAAAGCACTTGTAAGATGTATTTCAACATCCATCTACTTGATTACTTTTACACCTTTAACTTTGTCCATGATGGCTCTGTTGGGACATTCTTCCACAGGGTCTGGGAGTGTCCAAGAAATGATCGTTGGGGTGGGGATCAATGGTTTGTATATCCTCTTGTTATAGGTTCACTGCCCTCTCCTGGTCCTTCTTACGATTTACTTCTCTTGGCTCGGTCTAAACCAGAGTTTTTTTTGGGCTGATGGCCGTAAAGAAAATGGTTGCTAAAAGGTGAAAGCCTCCTCAGTCTCTTGACCTATTTTGTACTAATAACCAAATTAGTCAACCTTTAGCTCAGCTTTGTTTTGTAATGAGATTCAATTCAATCATTTTGAATTTGGCTTGTTTCTACTGTTTCTGTATAGCTTCTAGGAAATAATAATAATAAAATAAAAAAAATTGTTCATAGGATTATATATGCATACTTGTTAGCAGCAAATAGTATCTCTAGGAGCATCTTATATTTTCAACATTTTAGATTTTTCATGCTGACAAGTTGTAAAATATAAGTTTAAAGAGCGTTCCCGGCATATTTGAATTTCGGTCTCATAGATGTGTCTAGCCACTCATCTTGGAAAGTGTTATAACTTTTTCTTTGAGCTTGTGCATTTGAGTGTGTGGGTATTTTGGGTCACTTGGATGCCATGCAACACCTCCTCTTCCTCTGATTTACTCCAAAAGTGCACTTCCTCCATTTAAAGACTCATAATTCTGCGGACACTGATTAAAACGCCTATGATCTCAAAGTCATTCAGTGTTAACTTATGTTTCCTCCTCAGCCTGCTCTGTCTCACTGACCATAAAGAGGAGTGCGCGTCTCGCCTCGTGCCTGTATCACTCTCAGTAATAGCCCGGCTGAATCATCATATCGGACAGACAGCAGATCCATCAGCCTCTTCAGTCTGCTGCAGCGGATACACGCAGCTGTGCTAAAACATTAAGTGCTTTACATTTCTTATCAAGGCAAAACCAGTTCAAGAACCACGTATTTATAGCAGAAGTATTGTATGTTTTCAAAACTATGACAACCATTGGTAGAACGGTAAAGTTGTGAAAAGCCTCTTTAAAGGTGACATAGGCAACTTAAATTGTATTTCATTTTTAGGAGACTGTATATTTCTGAACATGGGGCACTGTACTATTATGAAGTATTTGTCAAAATTTCTATAGGAAGTCCCGCCGCTTGGCATACTGTAACTATGACCAGTGAGAGAAAGAGAATACTTAAACCAATATCTAAACTAATGGACATTGAACTAATTTCAGCCAATCATGAAGCTCTGAGGGTGAGCATAGTTGGGTTTAAGCCAGTGGGGGCGGGTCCCTGCTCAAAAGTGGCCAAAATGAAGTGCGCTGACATGCTTGCAATACCACCCCGGGCCGATGGGGGTGGACCCAGAATAAGAATTAGACCTCTTGAAAACGTCTTTACAGGATGGTCCAAAAGTTGGCTCTTGGCCCAAAGCTCCGTTCCACATGTGTCAATGCTGAGGGGGGTGAATTTTTTTGGTCCACTCTAGTTTACTTGCTATACGTTTTTGAAGTCTCTTGTTCAAATGAATGGAGCTTGCGCCGGCTGACGCCTGCGCAGATGCGTTTTTTCACAATTTTCTTGTGGGCGGGACCACTCGCGGCCATTTTGGATAGCTCCAGTAGAGCACTATTTTTGGCCCATTAGTTAGAAGGGCGGAGATAGGTGTGACTACGTCCGTTCATTTTTACAGTCTATGGTTTAACCCCGTAGAACCCGGACATAAACATTTGTTGAACAAACTTATCTGAGCTATTTTTTTGTCAATGGGGCTGGGTTTTAAAACAGTTAATTGTTTGGAAAGCAGCATTACATGACCAATTTTCGCAATGTAAAATACTATATTATTTGGGTTCTTATGTACATAAATTAGTGTGGATATACCGATATGAAAATTTTGGCCAATACCGATATTAATTATTCTGGCGGCCAGTGACCATGTATTTTTTTTTTTTTTTTCGACACCAGTTAGAGCAATACATTTTATAGAGACTCCATAAGTTCTCCACTTCTGTAGTTGCCACATCTGTACACAACACAGAAAAAGAGCATTTTGACTCCGAATCAGTGAATATTTACATTTTTAATGGGGAGATTTTCCTCCTGTCCATTGCGCCACTGTGTGACGTCAGCTGCAACCGGCAATACACATTGGTTGTGGTTATCGGCCCAATTTCTAGATGTGTAAAAAAAATTATGAACATCGGCCGATATATTGTGCATCCCTATAAATTAGTGCATGCATTAAAAGAAAAAGTCATCAGTAACCTTTGAACTTTATGTTGGACATTTGTAACCAAAGGTGCTACGGGGTTAAGCTGGGGTGGTCTTCAAAATGTTTCCCTTGCAGCATTAACATTACGTTTGGGATATTCTAACTAAGTGAACTGCTTTTCTAACACCACTGAATTAACTTTTAGCACATTGTGAAAACTGCATAATCACACAATGCCATGGGTGTGTAAACATATGCAGCAGTTCAAGGGTTGGAAAGCATTGCATGTTGCATTGAACACCATAAAAGCTATATGATCCGTTTATACCATTTTTTCAGATATGGATGACCTCGTCCTTCTGAACCTGAGGTAAATGATGAGTCTATATCACAAAGTGACTCCATCACCCGCTCCTCCGCCTTTTGTTTGGGCTTTAGTTTACTGCTCTTGCCGGAGGAGGATGATACGGGCCTCGGTTGTCTCAGCAGTTTTAATCTCGTCAGAGCAGATAGCATCAGTGTGACGACTCTGTCAAGTGAGAGACCCTGACTGGCAGATTTCAGAAAGATAACAACAACTTCACTTCCTTATCCTTTTTTGTGCTTTTTACAGTAGTCCTCCGAAACATCTTGTACACAGACATCAACTTCCTTCTTCAGTTGTCTATAAAAAACATTCCTTTTTTTCGTTACTCAGACAAAACTATTGTCTAACTCAGCCATTCCCAAACTCAGTAACACCGAGGCCCCCTTAAAAATCTGACGGGTCTGCGTGGCCCCCCAAAATAATAACCAAGAAGACAACATTAAGAATAGGCTCTTCTGGTTATTTTATTTTGGGGAAATAGCCTCTGCTACAAACATTGTAATACAAAAATGATTACAGTGGATTATTCAAGTCAAATAATGAACACAAATATTTTA